CAACGCCGGGGATGGACGAGCTTCACAGGGCTTTCGACGCCTGTCAGGAGGAGGTACGACGGACACAGCACGAGGCTGCGGTCCTGAAGGTGCTGCGAGGGGCGGTGGCGGGGGAGGGAGGGATGGAGGGTGTGCGAGAGGCATTGGGGCTGAGTGTGGGGCAAATGACGAAGCTTCGAGGCTTGTTTGCCTGGCGGTGGACAGCGAAAGGGCGACCCGAAGAGGAAGGGGTGGTGGGAGGGGAGGAAGGGGGGGAGGAAGGGCTGGGGGGAAGGGGGTGCTCGGTGGCTGGGGGGGGCGGACAGAGGAGGGGAGGGGGAGGAAGAGGAGGAGGTCGAGACAAGGCTCAGGGACGTGGAAGCGCAGATAGCGCGGCTGCAGGCTTGCCTCCGGGCGGTGGGACGCGGAGAGATGACCTCGGTCCCCTCCCTCCTCCTCCCTTCCCATCCCCTTTCTCCCCCTCCTTTGCTACCTGTCGGCGCCCTTCGGGACGGGACTCCCTTTCCCTGTGTGCATAGGGCGCTCGAATCGCTGAAAAGGGTGCTAACTCCGGGGCAAATGACGCGGTATCTGGAATGGGCAGAGGCTAATCGGGGGGCCATCGGAAGGTTAAGCCTGGAGGAAGATGGTCAGTGCGAGGGAGGGGGAAGAGAAGAAGAGGGTGGAAGCCACAAGGACGATAGGTTCCATTTTTCCAGTAGCGCCGCCCGTTCGATGATCGGAGGTACAAAATGACTTGTCCCGAATCAACGGGCTGGCAGGGAAGACGTTGGCACACTGGTTTTCAGGTGCCGCGCAGTTTTTGGATTGCGTCCAGAGGACGCATTTACAAGAACTTCAGCGACGTGAATTAAGGCGGGAGTCCAGTGGCCCGGCTCGAGAATCTCGCCCTCACAGTTTTGTGTGCATGTGCTTAGCGAGGTAGCGACATGTACATGTAGGGAATTTTGCATTTTTGGTGTGTATTTGGGAATCATGATGGGAATTAGAGGTGAGAAGGATCGTGCGAACAGTTTTGTTGGAAATTGTGGGGTCGAAGGAACAATTTTGACATGTGCATATATACGAACATCTTTGTAATTCGATCGATCGGCCAAGCCTGTGGAGTGGCGCTGAATAGAAAATTGCCGAGAAGGAGACTTCCATGCCTATTGAATTGTATGAGGCTCGTCAATTGTTCTTCCGGAAACGGTCCTCCGTACCATTCTATCAGTTGTACTTTGTCTCCACCTGGCTCAATCGCGTGAAATTCCATCTCACCACCAAGACATGCAGAAGTCAGGCCCAGAGAAATAGACTGATGCAACTTGAAATTTAACCTCTCCTCGTCCACGAACCTCTTACCGTCGGCAACCGTGGGCTTTCTCCTAATCAAGTAGTAAAGGCCGCATGCCGGGACCGCGGGGGGCGGTTTCCTCATACCCGGAGTTTCTTTCTCCCTTGCGCAGAGCACAGACGGCATGAAAAGGATTCTAAGTCGGACACACGACGACACTCATACCCCAACCCTGTGGTATGCCGTGGCGACGTACCGTGCCGGTTGCCATGTTCTTTGGAAACATCTTATTCGTCATTTTGTATTCCTTCGACTAGGTTGAGATATCGTCTTGGGCCCTGGCGTGCCCCAGGCTCGTTCCTCGTGAGACGAGATAAGAGTTCGGGGCAAAGGAGGCCGTTCCATCGCCCTGGGATGGAAAGTCTTCACCATGCACCATCATCACTACGGACAACTTCAACTGCTTTGAATGACTCAACCGCAGTGCAATTGAAGGCTTCGAACAAGGGGTCGTCGCGCACAAAGAAAGCCCTCTTCCTTGTAAGCAGTATCGCTCTAGTATCATCTTCATCCGCCTCAGCTCAGGCCTCCTCTTCCCTTCACCACTCCGTGGCATTCCACAATGGCCTATCCTTTTTTTCACGACTGAATGCCCATGCGTGGGGGAAAAAATATGCTGCCGGGTCAAGCGACTCGGGCGAGGGAAATGCCTACAGCAGCATCAGTCTAAAGACTCCCAACACGAAGGTCACGCCCTCAAACCCCGTCACTCCCACCACAAATTCCCGTGCCCGCACGCCCTCCATCCCTGTCCGTCTCCTCGATGAATCGGCCGCTGCTGGTGCTGCGGCTGCCGCCGCCACGGGCGCAGGAAGTGAGTCCTTCACCCTGGGGGGGCTTCTGGAAAAGGACCGGCAAGCAGTCACTTCCCTGCCGCCCGCGCCCTTCCAAGACATCGAAATGGACAAAGAAATTTTGGAGGAGCTGACTCGCATGTTGTACCAGTCCCTCAACGAACGTCAGCAGGATGTGTGGGCGAAGCTGTGGCTAAACGACGACCAGGGCGGGGGCGGCAGCAGCGTCATGTTGTCCGCGGGGGACGGAAACGTGACGGTGGGCCACGCAGGGGTGGTGGACTGGCTGAACGTGCTGAGAAAGGAGGAGCGGAAGCTGGACCCAGGCAAGAAAGGGCTCATGCTCTGCCCCACCACCGAGATCAGCAACGTCCGGGTATGTGTGAACGGCTTGCACGCGTGGGTGACATGTCACGAGGTGTTGACACGGGGCCTGCTCAAAGACGGCGGGGAGGGACGGGGAAAGGGTGGCGAAGCGGGCGAGAAGGAGCCAATGTGGGGCACCAACATTTTCCGACGATGGAACGGGCAGTGGAAATTGATGTGCCATTTCTCAGGGCGCTTGGCGGGCGTGCAAGGGGAGTTGCAAGACTTGATGGAGGAGAAGAGGATGAGGGAGATGGCGGGCGGGGGAAAGGGGAAACGGGGAGGAAGCGGGGGCATGCCGAACATCCAACGGATTCCGTTACGGCCGGAAGACTTGGGTTTACCTCCGGGCATGGGCGCCGAGGCGGAAATCACGTGGGAGATGGACGACGGCATGTTCGAAGGGGACGGTGAAGACGAAGGCTTCGAGAACGAGGACGGGATGGCGGTGGACGTGGAAGTGGTGAAGGAGGGTGGGGGGGAAGAAGGGAGGGAGGGAGGGCGGGAGGAAGAGCGACGTTTGGCGGCTTCTTTTGAGGATTTGGCTGGGCGATTGTTGGAATGGAACAGGGCCGATGTGTTCAGAAAGGAGACCAAGAAAGCTTTGGGGGCTGTGAGAAAACTTGCGCGGGAGGGGTATTTGACGGAGGTGGACAAGGTGAGGACACGGGGGAGGGAGGGCTTGAGGGAGGGCTTGAGGGAGGGAGGGAAGGAGGGAGGGAGGGAGGGCAGGATCCTCTGGCGGGGCCTTCTGCCTTGGCTCCAGCTGCGGCCTCCCCCACACTTTTCAAGTACTGACAGACCGTCTTGCTTCCTATTTCCTTTTTGCTTTTCAGATGAAACTCATCCATTCCGTGATCAGCGCGGCTTCCCGGGAGGAAGTGTCGCAGGTAGAAATGGCCTACGACCTCCTGGTCAGCGAGTTCGAGGACGAGGAGGAGTTCTCGGAGCAGTTGAAGTTGATATTGCACACGTTGGAGTGAAGGAGGAGGGAAAACGGGGGATGAGTGGAGCGCGTCACGAAGGATGGAAGCCGAGTTGGTGGGGAGGGAGGGGGGAAAGCGGGGAGGGCGTGCTACTCCTCGTACTTGGGAAGGGGACGAAGTGGGTGCCGCGGGGATCTCGAAGCGGAGGTGGAAAGCGGACGAGCAGAAGGACGGAAGGAGAAGAAGAAGAAGGAGGGGGAGGAGGAAAGATGAAGCGATGGAGTCGGAGGGATGGCGACAGAGGCATTGGAGCGTCAGGTGACAATCAGCGAGGCTCAGTGGCCCTCTGATAAAATGCTAAGTAAGAAAGGTGGCGGTAACGGCCGTCGCAGTGTTCATGTAGGGGTAGCAGTGGAGGGGGAAGGATGAGGAGCTGGGGGACGTGCATCAATAGGGAAGATCGCAAGGAGAGAGGCGAAGGAAGGGTAGCGTGGGGGGTTGGACGACTGGAGGGGACGAGTGCATGCCTGGAAATTCTCAATGTACAGGAGCGGGAGGCCCACAGAAGCAGGAGTAAGAGCCGTAGCAATACCAACAACCCAGGGTTCAGGGATAGCTTTGCCAATTGAGCACGAGAGTGGAGGAGGAAGGGGCATGTGGTGGTAAGGGGAGAGTAGAGAGGGGCGTGGGAGGGAGTATGGGAGATTGGGCTCACCCTGCCTGCAGGGTAGGTCGGTCGTCTGTACCGCGCCTTTGTAGAGAGAAGAATTAGGTGATGCAACGACCCGAAGCGCGGGAGGGAAACTTAAAGATAAAAAACACGGTGACAGTCTAGCCATAATTATAATATCCCGATGCGCCGCGCGCGGTGTTTTTCTTTGTGGGAAGAGGGAGGGTGGGTTTTCTTGGGGGGAGAGAGACGACAGAGAGACGAGCATGGGAGCTAATCAGGAGGAAGGGCACGCCGGAGGCACCGCTCTGGGTGGGTGGTGAGGAAGCCGGCTGGAAACGGGCGCGTCGTATGGCGAGAAAGGAGCAGAAAGAACCTAGTTCTTCCTCCGACTTCCGCAAGCGATTCAGACTTGTTGAGTCGACTAGCGCGTATTTTGCTGTGTGCTCCCGTTCTTTACCTTTTCACATTTCCCTTCACCTCAAATCCTGCCCGGAGGATCCATGAGCAGACGCTTAAAGTGTTGCCATGCACCCGCCTTTGTCAACCCCTCCCCCCTTCCCTTCCTCTCTACGTTCCTCCCCGCCCTCCTAAAAGCTTGCATCGCGCGTAACAGGCCCCGCTGACAACCCAGTAGCACGCGACAGTGCCTCCGCATCCTGTCTCGCATGACCTCCATCGCCACCTGTCCTCGCTCTCGCATCGCTTCCAACTGAATGATGAACTCTTCGAGCAAAACTTCCTTCTCCTTCGCCGCCTTCACGGCCGACGCATCCCCCGCCACCGTCACCAGATCGTACACCTCCTTCGACAGCAACCGGGCTTGCTGGACGTCTCGATCCATCCACCACGCCCTACCTCCTTCCCTCCACCTCATCTCCGCTTCCTCCTCCTCCCGGCCCATCAACACAGGTGGTCCTCCCCGAATGACCTCGTAAAAAGACTCATCCTCTTCCCTTTCCTGTACTTCCTCCTCCCTCCCTCCCTCCCTTTCCATCCTAACCTTCTCCTCCACCCCTTCCTCCACCTCTTCCGTCCACATCACGCTTCGACCCCCTTTCTTTCCCTCGGCACCTTCTTCCCTCCTTCTCATTGCCGAGACCTCTCTCCCTGACAGCCCCCCAGCCTCCCCCCCCCGTTCCGGCCCCATTGCCTCCATTTCCCCTCCCTTCTCACCCTCCTTCCGCCCTTTTCCCGCACGCCCACACGCGTCGCCCCCTCCTTTGTCCATGACCCCGGGACCCTCCGTCCCATCACCCGCGCGCGGACACCTCCACAGGGTCTTTTGGACCTCGTCTCCCTCTACGCCCAGGCCGTGGGGCCACGTTTCTTCTGTGTAGACGTCGAGAGCGGGGGTCCTCGACCATGGCTCCTGCGGTGGTGGTGGTGGTGGCCGTTGGACAGGTAACCGGGACAAGGCTTGCTGTTGCTGCTGCAAGATTTGCTCCTGTTGTTCCACCACCGTCCGCAAAGCGACGCACTGCCGCTCCATCCCAAGGAAAGCTTTCCTCTCCCTCGTAGCCGCCTGCTTCCACCGCGTCACGTCCGCCAGCAAAGCCTGTATTTCCTTGTGGCTGGCCTTCGCGTCCCTCGTCGCCCTTTCAAAGGCCGCCTTCCACGCCGCGTCCCTGCCCCCGGCCACGCCCTCCGTCGCCTTTTCTGTCTCGGGCGAATCCTCCACCTCCCCTACCGTTTTCTTATCTCCATTCTCGTCCTCCCCCCTCTTGCTCCTGAAACTCTCTTCCATCCTCCTCGCCGCCCTGCCCTCCCCATCCCCTTTTTCCCAAGCCATGGCCTTCCGTGCTTCTTCGAGCTTTTTGAAAGTGATGAGCAGTCTCTGGGTAATTTCCCTCTCCTTTTCCCGTCGTCGACAGAGAAGAAGGGAGAGTCGATGTTCGAGGCCCGTGGGAGAGGGCGAGCATCGATGGCGTTTTCGGGAGGAGGGACGGACAGAGGGAGGGGGGGGGGAGGAGAAAGGAGGAATGGGAGAGACCGGGAGCAACAGCCGTTTTCTCCCATAGCGCTGCTGCTTCTTCTCAAGGTCCTCCTCTATATCGATGTCCCCTCCCCATCCCTTGACATTATTTTTCTCTTCTTCTTCTTCCTCCTCCTC